GCATGATTTAATTATTGTGATTCATTCCACCTACCGTCTATGTCAAAGGTGAGAGTCAAGAAGCATCCTAGCTACCTAAGATCATTTCTAGCATCAATCACCTCATTCATGCAATTTTAGCAACATAGGGTCATGCTTACACAAGGCAACAACATAGGAGCATGCTTTCACAAAGCAACAACATATAGATTCTCAAGGTAATCAACTTGAAGTCTAAAATGCAACATCAACTAAATATAACAATTTAGCATAATTAGAATATCTAATACCACACATCAAGACATAGGTTCTCTAGGTTATCAATTAGAAATCTAAAAATGTGTAATCAACTAAATATAGCAATTTAGTATGAATGTACTTAACAATATCAAAATGATTCACAAAAATCATAAAACATAGATGTACTTAACAACATCAGAATGATTCATTAAAATCATAAACATGGATGTACTTAACAACATCAAAATCGCCAATAACCAAAACCACAAGTTACAATATAAATATGATTGTTAACTTGGAATTGAATGCGAAAACAAATAGTGGAAGACTTAGACATCTAAGCTCGGAATTTTGCAGAGACCTCAATGGTAATTCCGGGCACTAACCCGCAGGGAAGACCACCCTAAGTGCGCACTATCTTAATGACTTAGAGGACTCACGTCCCCGTACTAGAGCCAAACCCTAGCCATCTCAACTCAACAATATTCCAAGATTCCAAAATTAAACCAAATAAGTTCACAACTTATACATAACTTATATAATGCATGAAAACACCTTCCATGTACAAGTAGGTTGAAACCACACAATCCATGCCTTAGAGTTTCAATTCTAAAATGACATACATAATGTCAATTACAAAGTATGTAATTCACTACACATGGCATCAATATATTCCATAAAGAAAACATGTTCTCATAAATATAAATATAACAACAAAGTTGTCCAATGCTCAAAACACAATAAAGTGAATACATAACAAGTTCAAGTTCATGATTTGAATATAGAAACAACTTTTAAAATACCAATAGATCCATGGAGCCATTAGATAGAATTTAATTAAACAAGATAATCAAATTCTATAAATTTCAAATCAAATTCGAATAATATCAAATTAATATATGTTAAACAATATAGCATGCTCATTACATATATCAAATCAAAAGTATCAAATGAGCAAGATAGCATCACATAGAATTTAATTAATTTAAATTAATCAAATCTCTAGATTTCAAAAGTTATTCAAACGATTCCAAATTAATATATATCAAACACCAACTTATGGTCATACCATATCTCAAGTCCAAAATGGGATACAAGCAAAACACAATTTACTAGAATTTAAATCAAATTAAATTCTTTAAATCTCTAGATTTAAAAACTAATTTAAATTATCCCAATTTAATATACAACAAAGATCAAGTCATGGCCATGCCATATATCTAGTCCAAAATGAGTTATAAACAACTACCATTAATCATAATTTCTCAAATTAATACAATAAATGCATACAAGTTGTATAAGCATAAAAAAAACATGCAAGATAACAAACATATAACCCTATAACATCCTTTACCTCACTAGAGAAGTGTCTCTCTAGAATCCAAGGCAAAATCAACACAAAATGGCAAACCCTTCTAGGGTTATGAAGAGGAAGATGAGGGGAACAAATTGTATTCCCAAGTTCAAGCTTGGAAATCAATGGAAGGCCCTCAAAAATCAAGATCAAAGCTTAAGGCTTTAGGCTCCATCCATGGAGGCTAGGGTTTTCTTTACAAGAGAGGGAGGAAATGGAAAATGATCAAGATGAAATGTGAGTGGAGGGGATAGAAATCCTCCACTCACTATGTGCTCTTACACTACCTCTCACACACACATTAATGCAAGATTAAATTGTGAGCCTACACTTGTCACTCATCCAAGCATCCATTGTATGCTTAATCCTAAGCCTACACTTGCTAACCATCCAAGCCAACAAGTGCACCAATCCTAGGCCAACAAGTGGGTGAATCTTCACCCTCCATGTGTCATCATCTAAGGCCTCAAAGTGTCTCTACACAAATGTCAACAAGTGGACCAATGAGAGTGTGACACTTGTCACACTTTTCAGAAATTGCAAAAAGGTCCTTTTTAAAAATATCCCCCAAATTAAATTGCAAAATGGTTCCTAAGACGAAAAATAATTACTTTACAGTAATTACACAAAAACCCCTAAAGTTAAGAGAATTACAAAAAGATTATGCATCTGTACCCTTTACAAAAAAAGTAAACACTTAGCATGCTTTTCTACAAAAGTGAAAATACACATAATATGGAATTTAAATATCATGGATGCATGCAAAACCGGAATCAAATCCGAACACGAAAAGTGAGGTTATGCTAACAAGGTGACAACCGAGAAAAAGACGAAAGTGAATAGTGTCACAAAAGTGAAAATATGAAAATGACTCGGTTCTCAAAGGAAGTCGTCAATCCAAGGAAAAGAGTCTCGGAAACCATCCCCGAGCACTCAAGATGACACTAAGTGACGAGAAACTGAACTCAGAAAGGAAAAGATCAACGGAAAAAAAAATATCCGTGAAAATCTGAGAAAAAGAAAGGAAGGAAAATGACCGAGTCATTACATGCTCTCTAACGTTTAGTTATGGGATAGTCCCAAAGGTATCATCCTAAGCTAAACATATCCATTTCATATCAAGTAAGCATATACGTAGAAAATGAAATGTAAATAATAATACAAGTCGCAACTACACACGGATGCCAACTTGAAAACAAAATAAGGAACTGGACATATAGACAATAAACCAAGTCGCAACTACATATGAATGGCAACTTGTAAATAAGATTTGAAATCAATAAATGGGATAACTAGTAAACACACCCACATTACCGGTTACATAGCTGTGCTATGCATCTAAAATAAATGGTCGTTTCCGGGCTACTAACCCGCCAAAAACTAACCGATTAGACAATATAAAATAGGGAAACTCATGCTTCACCTGCGAATATCGAGCCCTCGAATTCTCAAATTAAAACCCATGAGTATCTCTCCAAATCATTATCCAATTCCACAAGATAACATATATCAATATATAACAACATTGCACCTCACAAGAGCATATAAACGATGTTATCCACACAAATCATGGCTTAAGGTCCAAATACTATCACCACATACTCATTAATGCAATGATATCAAGTATAACTTATATGCTCATATATATATCATTTTACCTCAAGTAAGCATTTTATTGAACACAAATAGTACAATACTCAATACTATCACATACATATTCTTTTTAAGAGTATAATCTCATAAGGAAGACGGACAATTAACCACATAATCATTTCCAAGAATTTACAACAATTCAAGTGAGGTAAGGAACACATACATAAGGGTAAACATCTTGGCTATCAATGATAATCACAATAATGAATTCCTCTCTTTAAATTATGCAGTGTCAGGTCCGGTTCGCCGTCGACGGTGCATAACTCGAACTAATTCGAAGCTTAAACTACTTTGTCCAATGCCTTGCTCGGGCCATCACCGGCGACAATTGTATCATGGGCGAGTTTCAGAAGGAACGGGGCGAGATTTGGGTGCTTCTTCGGCAACTTCTTATTGATAGAACTCCGATTCAGTGATGACAAAAGTGAAGGAGGTCGCCTTGGGACCGACGATGTGATCTTGGGGTTTAATGCTTCGGATTGGGTGAAATTGGGTCGAATATGGTTGTGAGTATTATCGTTGGGAACGGACAGCGCAAAGCTTAAGGACTCGAGGATGGTGGTTATTTTGTTGTTGCAGGCGGTTTTGGTTGTTGTCGGTGGTGGTTGTTTTGGTGTTGGTGGTAAGTGTTTTGGTGGTTGTTTTGTTGTCAGCGATGGGTGTTTTGGTGACTGTTTTGTTGTTAGTGATGGGTGTTTTGGTGGTTGTTTTTGTTGTTGGCAATGGGTGTTTTGGTTGCTATTTTAGTGGTTGTTTTGTTGTCGGCAATGAGTGTTTTGGTGGTGATTTTGTTGTTGATGATGTATTCAGCGATGGGTGTTCAAGTGCGAGTCTTTGCAGGGATCTGACAATAAGAGGTGATGGCTGTGGGTGGTGGTGGGAGGGCTATGAAGTGGTAGCTTGGTTCGATTTGGTGAACTTGAAGAACTTTGGTTTCGTTGCGAGCTGGCTAGCCCATTTTCGACAGTTTCGTCTTCCTTTCTTATCATTGTGGGTTCATTTAGGGGTAGTTGTGGACGGTGATGGTGATTTGGTGGTTTTGTATACGCACCTGTACCTGTATATAATATTCATATATATGTGTGTGTATATAAGAGAGAAGAAATGGAAGGAAGAAGAGGTGGTGGCGATGGTGGTCAAGAGCTGGTGGTAGTGGTATACTGGTAAGGGGGAAGGGAGATAAAAGGGAAAAAGTTAGTTGAAGGTTAAAATGGTATTATTATTAGTCAATTCACAAGTCAGATGATGGTAATCCGGCACGGACCCAGTTCAGGACCAATGGGGACACCCCCATTGGACTTTTTTTCAGTTTACAATATTACCTGTAGTTTTAATTAAAATTTCAAAAATGCCCCTACTTAATTTTTTAAAATGCCCCCCCTCACATTTTTACCTCACTGATTTCCCCACTGAATTTTTTCTAATTTATATTATTACCTAAAGTTTTAGTTAAAATTTTAAAAATGCCCCCACTCAATTTTTAAATTGGCCCACTTCACAATTATTTTTTTAAATTTGCCTACAATTTTTTTTTTTAATTCTTCGATGATGTCCCCCCTCAAACAAAATTCCTAGGTCCATCACCAATAGTAATGTCTATTTACATGGGGTTGGGGTGTCTTTGTTAACCTTAGTAAAATTAAGGGGTGTTATTGTTCAAATAGTGTTGAAATTGTAGCCAGGTGTCTTAAACTCAAACTTGCAGGGGTGCGAGTGCAATTTACCCTTCTTTATTTATTTAATATTATTTTATTTTCTCTACTGATGTGAATGGAAAGCAACAGAGTGCTAACAAAGGCGCAACCTTTTTCGATATACACAGACTCTTTATACACACACAAATTCTAGGGTTCAATTCCTTTCTTCGATTAAAATTCACACGAAAAAAAGGATTGTGTTCACTCTCCAACTTGTCCCTGCACGATCTGTGTTTATAGTCAACACGTATTATGAATTGCGAAGTTTGCCAACTCAAAGAATTGGTAAGCCCCTTTCTCTCTCTGCAAAAAAAAAAAAACATTCACACACACTCACGCGCACACACACACTTGTACACACTCTTATAAGTTTAAATTTAACATCTTTAATCTGTTTTCGAATGAAAATTGGCAATTCCGTAGTCCATTTCAATACTAGTAATTGCTAATTCTCAGTTGTGGTCAAGAAAATACACTTTGCTTTCGGTGTATAGATACCGTTGTTCATTGATCGAAATCGTAATCTTACATGTTCATAGGAGGTGGAGCACTTCGAGATTCGAGAAGTTATGCGATGTAAGTTAGTGCGTGAATTTAGTTCTTTGTTTTGTTGAATCGTCCGATTCTACAACGTTTTGGTTTTATGCAGTTATATGCATAGTTGGGTCTTAATTCTGCTTATTGTTTTCTTTACTGATATAAACAATTTTAGTAAATACTGAAGTTTTTAAGAAGGATTTGTTTACTTGGCTGGTGATATTGCTAAGATTTGAAATCTGATTCCCAGAACATTTTTGTTTATAGTAATTGTCTCATTTTTTAAAATATATATATTTTTGAATCTATTGTATGTTAAATTAAATCTTCAATGGGATTTATTTTTATATGATATATATATTTTTTCTGGTTCAATGGTGATAGGCTGCATAATGGAGGTAGATGTTCCCCTACCTATAATTAACGTGGAGCCCTAGGCAGGAAAAACATGAATCGTAAGCATAATTATACAGAACTTTTGTTTCCTGTACAAGTTTTAAAGGCGTGCCACGAAGTTATGCTACGGTTAAATGTATTATAGTTATACATTATGAAAAATACTTCATTTTCATAAATTTATAAAAAAGGTTTACATTGACCTTAAATCTTTTTTATTAGAAGTAAAAAGGGATGTTTAAAAGAAACTTGTAATTATAGCAACATAATCAGCAATTCCCATTTTTATGTTTTTCATTTTCTTATCCCCATTTTTTTAATTGTATTTTTGAAGAGAAATACTATACGCATACATATCATGTGCCTTCCCCTTTTGTTATTTATTATTTATTTATTTTATGCTTATATCTAACTGGCATCTTCTTAATCATTTATTTATTATTTTAATTGATCCTTCTACCAGAAAGCCAAAATGCATATTTATTGAAAATATTTTGGATATTGTAGTTTGAAGAGAGGACACATATTTTTTGTGTCTTGATGGAACATGTGTGTATCTTGTTGATATAAGACAAGTAAAAGAGTTTCTAGGCCTTTGAGGTTGCCTCGTTTCCGGTATCCTAATTGAACTTGGTGTTTCTTTTTCCCCTTGCAAAAAAAAACATGCTCTCACCATTGTCCTATCTGGCTTGTATGATTGTTTAGTGGAATTAGTATCCAGCCGAAGTTCATTCTCTTTGAATTTAAATGGAGAAAATTTTTATGTGTGTATTTCAGCATCTGATTTTTTCTTATGTTTTTATTAATTTAATAAAATTTGAATTGGTAAATCAATTATTCCATTAAGTTATCTAAATTCTCAAAAACATGAAGATATGGATGGTTCAAAGTTGGTAATGTCCCTCCCCCTCTAACTGAGAAAGAAAGGAACATTCTTTGGTTCTGTCTTTGTTCTTCAAGGCTGATGGCATTGCATAGACAACGTTGTATCATGATGAAAACTGTACAAAGGATAGTCTAGGTGATAGTTTTTTCCTTTTGTGGCACTGAAGGAGGTTCTTTTCTGAGCTGGTTATATTGTTTCCTCAATTTGTCTATAATCTACTTATGCATATGTCACTATGACAAACAAGGTGAAATAAAAACAAAAAGAAAAGAAAAGAAAAGAAAAACTGTGATTGTGAAGAAAATGGTATGAATCCTCATCAAGTTTAGTTCTCTCATCTCTGTACAGTGCTTGGCGGTTAGTTTATTTCTGATTCCCAGTTCATATGTTTCTAATTAAGGTTATTGTGTTTACATAGTAGTAAACAATATCCCGGTGGTATTATTTTGTGCCAGAACTACTCTCTCTCTCTAGATGCATTTAGTAAAATTTTATATTTCTTCCACTTAAACAAATGATTGTGGTGAATATTTGTGCAGGCATTCTCCACACAATTTTGTTCCATAGGGCTTTAGGCCTTGTGCGGCCCAAGGACATTGATTTGGAACTGTTTGAAATTACATATGTAAGTGATTTTTTATTTTTTATTATATATATATATATATATTTTTTTTCCTAATTGCTAAAAAGTGATGACTAGATTCTATTCTCAGTTGGATGTATTTGGTGTGTGTTGATGATATTTATGGTTAACGATTTTTAGAAAAGTAAATGGAAATGGTTGAAAATTTTGGTATATGATGGATGGCTGCAACTTTTGATGAAATAGTGTACCTTTTTAAACTGATCACAAGAATCCATTCTATCAAAAAGCTTAAAATTTGAAATGAAACTGTGGATCTCTCAAATTGATTTGGAATATGGTGGTTAGGTGCCAACTTTCTGAAAATATTTGGTTTGGGGGATTGGTGATGTAATTGGATGGGGGCAAAAATTTACGCCCATCAGAACTGTTAATGGCTGATCATCTGCTATTTAATATTCCGATCTAATTTTAACAACTTGAAATTAAATTAAGAGAGAAACTTGCCAGTATCATGAGCTGTTTCTTTTGCAATTTTCATAAATGAAACCTTAAGAAACTAACTGTAACATAAGCGAGTAAAGTGACCACCTCTACTCTGAAAATAATATATCACTTCTTCTTAACCACCACCAACACCCCTACCAAACTTAGGCCACCCCTATCTTCATCATCAGTACACCATCATTTGTCCACTCAACCAGGGCCATTCCTTATCAAAGGTAAAAGTAGGAATGAAAAGCCTGCTTTTCCTCTGCATTGGTTTTTACCTGACAATGAAGTTGCATTCCGTTATAACAAGTAACAGGGAGTTTACAATCAACCTTGGGTTCTAGGTTGGTCATTTCCTGACCTTTCCTTTGCACTCCAGCTACAATACAACACCAAGTTTATGATGTAATTGGAGTCCTAAGTCCATTATAGCTGACACCAGGATTATAATCAATGCCTTCAACAATGTGATAGTCGTAATACTGTTGGTACCCTTTGTATCACTACCTCATTGCAGCCACTTCCATTTCCCCATAAATTTGTCACCATCTTTTCCACCTCCAAATTTTTGCTACTTTTGCAGCCACCACCATGCCATTTCTTCATTGGCTCCGGTGACAGTACCACATCGAGATCTATTTTCTACCATTTGAATCTCATCTAGAGTATCACCAATACTACCGCTGCAAGCTCACCTCTCCAACATCATTTTCGATTTTAAAGCCATTGATATTTTTTCTTTAGGTAATTTGCTATAAGGCTATCGTGATCATGACTCCTGCCACCATCATCATTATTTGTGGAACCATGATAGTTGTCTTCTTAAACACCACCACGGCACCAGTGGTCTCCTTTGGCATTCTTAACACAAAACCTTCACCTTAAAATCAGTGTGGAGCGAATATTACAAATAGACTGCCATGACCACTCTTCCTTGAGTTTAACCCCATCATTACCCGTATCTAGATCCGACGCAGATCCATGATGGATATTCTAAGGAAGATCTGCACCCGACCCATTTTGAATTAGTTTCCAAATTAAAATCCAGATATGTTGAATTGGACTTCGGATTAGATCTCGGGTCAAACCTTCTCTATTTCAGGTCCTATTCCGAAGCGAACACAACATACTTCTATTGACCCTTCACAGTTACCAACTAACCTCCATTGGAGTTGAGTTTCTTGTGCTGGCATAATAGTCTGTCTTCTATAATGAATTACTGTTACATGTTTTGAACTTTATACTTCCCCTTACAAATCTTTGTGAATAATTGATTTGTTGCTGGCCTCTGAACTTCTTATATCTTCTCATTTATGACAATTATCATTAATTCTCTGTTTGGTAGAAATGATGACAAATTGGAACGAAAGGAAAGTGGGAGGGATGAAAGAGGTACCCTTGGGAAAATGGAAGAGGGAAGTGGTATGGTGTTGTTTGACCCCTAAACTCTTAAATAATAAAAGTCCTTTTTGTGAATGGGTAAAAAAATTTGCCCACTTTTAGGCAGAATTTTTTAACTGCCCCAGAGGGATTCCTCCTCCCTTCTCTTTATCTTTCTCTTGGCCTTTAAGGTGGACCTCCTCCCTCCTTTTTCCTCATACATTCTCTCCAATTCCTCCCTATACAACGTTGCATGAAGTATTTCTTGGGCAAGGCTAACGTTATACATTATAATATATTAACATTATTTGACAGTATTACCTTCCCCCGCGCGCGCGCGCGCCCCGGGGGGGGGGGGGGGGGGGCCGGGGGTGTGGGCTGTATTTTGAATGACATAGGGTTTTATGGACAGAGAATACTTTGTGGTAAATTGGCAAGGCCCATTAAATGAATCTGATGGGCCAGATGTTTCCTCTGTATTGCAACTTAATTATTTCTTTTGCAAATCTACCTGTGCTAAATTCTTGTGTGCGCACATGTGTGTGTAAAACTGTAAATTTCTGTAAGAAGCATTTTAGCAATATGGCAGGTTGTGCTGTGTTCCTGCTAGTAATTTTAAGTCCAGTGAAATCAAAGCTCCTTGTCATTGTCTGCTTGAATATTGCATCACTTGTGTCATTGAAGCACGGAAGCCAAAGTGCAGGCTGAGTCCATGAAATGATCTAAGCCTTGTATCGGTCATGATGTGTTAACTTATACCTAATTAGTGCATTGAGAACGTGACACTACTGCTTTTCACAGTCTGAAGAATGTCTTCAGAATAGTTTACATGGTTTGCGCCCGAGTAAGTAATATAGTACGTTCAGCTTGCGTTTGGTAGGAGGGAAGGGTGAGGGATGGAACAAGCTTTCATTATTTGGTAGATGGGAGAGGAAGGATAAGAGGAGAGATGAAGCATTCCTGTGACCTGCCATTTTGCATCCTACCAAAAGTGGGAGGAAGAGTAGAGAGGTAAAGAATAAATATTTGTTGGATAAAATAAAGAAAACTTCATAACTGTCATTTAAGCATATTAATTTAAATAATTAATGGTATAACTGTAAAATACTGATATTACCTCTTTCCTTCCCTTCCACTCAACCAGGGATTGGCACCCTCTTCCTCTAGGGATGTCTCTTCCATCCTTCATCATATCCCTTCCCCTCCATTTTTCCACCCCTCCTACCATACCAAGCATAAATTTCCATTTGAAACTTACCTTTTTATTTTGAAGACAACCTCTATCTGCCTGTAGGATTCAAATTTATGCTGGACTCTTGCTGTTGGCATATTAATTGGAGCTAGTGGTTTAGTGATTGCCAGAAATAAAGCAAAAATGTATTCCTTTGTGTGAGTCAGTTGCCTGAAATAAAGAAAAAATGTGTTCCTTGTGTTAGTTGCATTTTAAAATCGTCATTGTTTTGAGATTGATGTTCCAACATGTACAGTGTTTCACTTCAAATTGTATTTCATCCTTTGGGAGTGATTATAGTTGATATTTGTGATATTGGAATTCTTTGGTCTCCATCTTTTTATGCTGTCACTGTTTGTACAGGTGCAATGTGGTGATGTGGAAGTTGAAAAGAAGATAGAGGAGAAGATTGACCAGTTCATTGATAAAGTAGAGAAACATCCTAACAAGAAAAACCAGGTAGTTAGTGTATCATTGTTTATGAATTATTTATAGTTTTATATATGCAGCTTGGAGTTGCAGTTATGTTTTTCGTACTGCAAAGCTGCATGTTCGCACTCCATTGTTGCCTTGTGTGATGTAATTGGAACCCTATGATCATTTATTGATTTTGGCTGCCATCAGCGTGTTTGTTTTGTAACACACTCCCCCAACCAAAGAAATAAAGGTTCCGCTTCCCTTGAAGCATAAATGTCTCAAAATTCAATATGTTATTTCTGCTATCAATTTCCTGATCTTATTTCTTTCCTAATATGGTTAATGTTCACAGTTGTAGTGTTATGTTTAGCATGTCTTATGATGTGCATATTTGTGGAGATTGTAGTGCTTTACACAGTTCTCTTGCATTGCACATCTCATTTCTTGGTTGGAGTTTATGTTCTATCACCTCATTTCTTTTAATAATATTAAAGTTGTTACACATTATATTTCTATTAACAGACTTCATGATGCAGATATGTTTGTCTTTCTATGAAGTGAAAAGCAAACAGGCGACATGGTTTAGCAAAGTTGAGCGTCTACACTGGGAACAATGGTACATTAATTTGAATGTGGTGCAACACCTAAAAGCTCATTCTGGCAAGTCTCATCATTCCAAAGTGGTAGTAGACCCAGGAGGTAAAGTTTGTTATGCTGCCTTTTGTCTTTAGTAATGCTTCTCGTTCTCACAAGAATTTTAACACCCCTCCCTCACGTGAATGATTACAGAGAGTAGTGCATTGGAGGAGAGAGGTGTACGCCGAGCAGCACTAGAAGCATCTCTTCGTGAGGTTTTGTTCCAGATAATAAAATTTGTGAATGAGAAAAAGGATCATGTTCCCGGTGTACCCAAGGAGGGTGTTTCCTTTCCCTTCGAAATCACTCTCTCAAGGTGAGCTTGTTTTTTCTTCTTACATTGTCTTGTTGATGGTTATTTTAATATATTTGTAGTTTTTTCTAGTATTTAGAATATAATATACTTACTAAAGGAAAGCTGTCATTATTTGTTCTCTCTTTAGAATTTCACACTTGAAACTTTATTATTGTTTTTGATGAAACTATTTCTTAATCTATTATTCATAATGAAGATCCATCTTGAGAAATTATTAAAATATATGCCTATAGAGTTTGTGTGTTCAGGAATTTTAGTATTTTGGCTGATTTCATCTCTTGTTCTTGATACTACTTAATGTCATAACCTATTCTTTGTAAGAAGGAAAACCGTATCTTTATACTATTACTTTTTGTGTTATGAGTACTGTTGTTAGGTGTTTGAAATATATCTAAATCTAGTTATCAGGCTACCGAATTAATAGTGTGCTCCGCCTTTTGTAGTTCATCGGATTCAGCATTTGGGATGGACATGTTTAAGAGAATGCTCCAAACCGGGCATCCAACCATGCTTAGCTGATAATCAAAGCTTTCAAGCCTTCTGTGCTGTAATGGTTTCTTTTGTGTCATGATGCCTCGTTATGTTTATATGGTAGCTTGATAACCCTGTCTGGAAGATCGCTGCTGGGATGAGCAGAAACTTGATTATCTATAATAAAACTTGTTTATATGTACATATGTAACTGCATGCATTGCTTATAATATCATATAATACCTCACAGACTGGTCCGGGATTTGTGATATTATGAAGAAGGGCCTACATGCTAACATTCATTGCAGAATTCCGGCTCACAGAAAATGAATCTGAGCAGTCTCTCCGACTAGAGTTGGCCTCCTATGTGACGAAATGTTTGATGCATGAGGTCGACAATGAACTGTTGTGCTCAACTTGCTCCTCTTCTTTATAACTAATTGGACATGGGACTAGCTCAACGGGGTATAGAGTGTTGGTTAAGAAGTCTTATTATATTAATTTGTTTGCACCTTGAACAGCAAGAAAATTTTCTGTTCTTTGCTCGTCTCTCTCTTTTTAACCGCGCTCTTTTGATTTTTCGGCTCTGTTTATTTCGACGAAAAATATTCTTTTTGAAAAATATTTTTCTTTTTCAGGTAAAATATTTTTTTATTTTTATTTTGTCAGTGTTTGATAAAGGTTTACTTCAAGGTTGAGGTTGAGTTCATCGGACGAGAAATGTAAAATAATTTGTTGAAAATTTATGAATAAATTATTTTTGTTAAATTTTAATATATTTTTTTCTTTATAAATATTTTACGACAATCAAACATCAGAAAATAAAAAAAAATATTTTACATGAAAACGAAGGAAGTTTTAATATCTTTGTTTTGTTTTCTAAAGTAGTTCGTTTATATACATATAATCCGTATGCGCGTGTGTCAGTATTAATAATCGTTTGTGTGTGTGTGTGTGTGTGTGTGTCAGTATTAATAATCGTTTTACTACGTATCAGCAATATTCTCTTTATGAACTTTAAGATTGATAGAAAGGATATAAAGTCAATTAGAAATGAATGACTTAATGATAAATGTTAATACAGTTGGTAATTTTTTTTATAGGTTATACACCTGTGATTTAATTCAAGTTTTATGGGACAAGGGGAGCATTAAAGTATTTTTGAGGTAGAAATGATAAAGGGATCGAGTCTCCTGAGAGTGTTGTGGGAGTTCTTTGTGAGGGGAAAAAAATAAAAAAAGGTACTGTCACTTTTGGGAAAAAAAAATAGAAGAGGAAAAATAAAAACTCAATTTATAAGCTCTTTTAATAAATGAGCCGAGTTCAAACAGTGTTGGGTTCGGCTCGTATAGGTTCGTGAAAAAACTCTTTAATAAAAGGCCCATATGATTCATATACTCTTCCGTCCCATAAAATTGTTCACTTTTTTATTTATTAATTTGGGTAACGTTATTAATTTAACCTTCTTATAATTTATTAATTTGGGTAACGTTATCAATTTAACTTTTTTATATTGAACTTATGAACATCCCAAAAAGATCCATTAAACTGTGGGAGAGGTAATATTTAGCTAAGGAAATCAGTCAAAACCCCTCTTCCTTTCCCTCTCTCTCTCTCTCACAATCCAAACACATAATTTGGATTCCTATCATTACTCTTCTAAAGTTTAGAAAAGCATTTTATGGTTGAAAAATAGGAATTTAGATGTGAAGTGTTGTTTGGATCAAGTTTCACTCAAGCTTTCAACTTCCATGGAGAGCTCCAAAATTTTATTTACCATTTACTAATTCCTCTTCCTAGCTAAATTGGGTAAAATGAAACAATGGAGCATTGGGCGGAGCTCTCAAATAGCTACTCTATTTTGTACTTCCACATTTTCTTCAAATCTTTCCCCTTCTAAAAAGATAACAAGAAGGTTTAGAACTTAACACTTGAAATCTTGATAGAAGTCCAATAAAAACCAAAAAGAAAAAACTATTAAAATAGGTTGAATTAGTCATTACCTTTTGATAGCTCCCCCCCTCCTTTTTTTTTTTTTTTTTTTTTTTTGGCAACAACAACACAAGCAAAAAAAAGAACAAACACTAACAAGTACTACCACCAGCATCAAGTTCCAGAAGTCGAAAGATTGAAGGAGGCAGCGAAGTAAGAACCAAGTCCGAGTTCATATCATTCCTTGAGAGTTTTGTAAGAGCATGTGCTACCCGATTACCATTACGTCAAACATGCGAGACCAAGTCCATGAAAATTTTTGTAGTGTTATCTGGATGTCATATAACATAGAAACATTCTCAACAGTTCCAGAGCTCACTCCTTCTAAGGCGTCCATTACTAATTTAACGTCCAATTCAAAGCACACAACCTGAAAGTTAAATACTTGAGCCCAATATATAGCACATCTAAAGCAAAATGTCTCTGTTGCTAACACCGAGGAGGAAGGAAAAGGCTTAAATATCACCGCTTGAAGAACGGATCCAGAATAGTCCCGAAACACTGCACCTCCATCTCCCAACTTAGAAAGTGTCAAAAAACTAGCATCAACATTACATTTTATGACTCAAGTCAAAGGACGGACCCAACGATTAGAGGGCTCTATCCTTCGTGGTTTGTGAAGAATATTCTGACATTTTTGCTGCACATTCAAAAACTCCCAAAATTGATTCGTAACTAGATTTGTCACCATTAAAGGATTCCAAACTTCCTTCTCAAAAACCTTCTTATTCATAGCCTTCCAAATTGTCCAAATACAAAAGGAAGCCAATCCTAACATTTTATTTTTTCCTGTGTAGGCGTTGATGAAGTAGATAGTCTAGCCCACCACTCAAAAAAAAGTTGAAGGCTGACATTGAATAAAATCGAGGTTAACTTCCAGACCTACAATAAATGAGAACATCGGAAACAAACATTGAAGAACAAGTACTTGACTTAGGCCTGGGGGTATGGTACATGTTGTTTGGGTGACTATGTTTATATTTTTTCAGAGCCATATGTTGTATTTGGCTGGCTCTTTATAAATATAACCGTTCTCTTTGACTTATGGTTCATCATATCGACCGATGTACAACGTATCAGTCGGTTCATAACTCTTTTTCAAGGGTTCGATACCGCTATACATCTCCATGAACCGGCTAGTTCGGTCGGTTTATACCGATATTTGCCTGAATCTGTTACACCGTGACCGCGAGAGATGCTGCGACTGCGAACCATGCTTTCACCAGTATGGTGATAGGAGATTTGGCTATCTATACATGGGACTCGTCATTTTAAAAGAGAGATAAAGACAAAAAGATAAAGTGGGGGCTATATACAGACCATTGCTGGTAGACTAGTCACATGGCTTGTTGGAAACATATTTTGTGTAGGCCTCACCTATAAGCCAGCCCCACGCTAGAGCTAACACTGGATAATATGACTGTATGGCTGGTTAAAAGCTTTAGCAAGCCGTACTCCTGGTTCTTAGAATATAAAAATTTGATAAACAAAGATAAAATCCACCAAAAAGAAGTGATGATATATATTAAAAAATTTCAATTGGTGGGAGACAATGAATTTTTTTTTTTTTGGGTGATATTATAACCTCATAAATACATTATTGGAATGTTGACCCTAAAATTGGCTGGCTAAGCTGATTAAGAAATTTGATGATGCGGACGCGCCAGAACCAACAATGTGGTTCGAATGCGTGTAGTTAACCTTAGTCACTTTGTGAAAATTGACTATCAGGTAATTTGAGAAGAAAGTGAACATAAAACTCATTGCCTAAATAAAAGGACTTTAATAATGAACGAATTGTAACAACTATGACAATAGAATAAGAAGGGAAGGAGAGAGAAAGATATAAAAGAGAGAAATAGAGGGGGAAAGAAGATAAAGAACAACTGAGAATAGAAAGATTGCTGAAGAGAGAAAGTTGGATGAGATGAGAAGAGCTAAAGAAAACAAAATTATATTAAAACTACGATTATGAGGGTGGTCGACCCCTTACAAAGAATGCTTCTATAATTATTTATAGAAATCATAAAGAGTCCTAAAATAAAATACTTCCTAAATCTAAGCTATTGTATTACAATTGATTACCAAATTTATTCCACTTAATAAACCTCCATTATTCACGTTTCTTCTTATGATTCTTCCATCATATCCTTCACTTTCTTGAATAACATATCTCCTTTATTTAGGAGTCTTGATAAAACCTATCACTTAATAATAGGCCATCAATTATCTTCTTGATCACATGCATATAGGAAATTTAAAACTTAAACTCCATATTTTAGTCAAATCATTCCTTATCCTGATCATCACCAAATTGTTTGCCACGTAATTTTCCAAAATGGGTGTCAATAATGCCCCCAATTTTAAATGTCTTATCGGCTGTCGGCCGCCCAAGCCGATAAGATATTTGCAATTTAAAGTACATTGGAAGAAAAATTTAAACAAGGCATGCGCTAGTCACTTGGAATAAGATTGCAAGTTAACGAGTTCTAAAACTTTATTTCTTCTGAATCACCCTAAGATATTATTTATTTTATATTAGCTAAATCTACCAATTTAGGCTTCCACCTAGATTCTCAATAAATTTGCCGATATCGCCTGCTTATAAACCTAGGAAGGATTTGCCCCCCATGCATTTTCTAACTCCATTAACAAAGCATGATCATGATCGGCAGGAATTAAATTATTGTGAAGCGTCATTCTAGTCGATCTGTCTATTATCTCTGTTGATGTAAAACAAAGGGACATCACCTCGAATGGCACCGATAGGGTGCCAGCCGAGGACTCTCCAACGATCAAGTTAGTACTTGTAATCGTATCACATAATCATCATGTAAATTCTGTTTAGGGGTTTTTTTCTCGTCCCTTCTTTAACGGATCGGTGCCCTATTTATGGCTGTCGATTGGAATCAAATTGGTCCCGCAGGAGATCCGCTTGTGCGAGATCAGAGGAGATCATTTGTTGCCAGATTTGTCAATGATATGACTTACTCCTTTGACTTTCTTAAATTGTGCCTAGGTTATCCTTACCCTGTTGAATCACATCGTCATTCATTATCCTGGATAAGAAATGTCATAATTTTTATCCGATGGAAATCTTTATCTCTGATAATGAAATATGTTGAAGAGGTCTGGCAGCTGGTCAAGGTAGGTTAGGTTTATTTTTCCCTATTAGTTGCTCCCCATTCCCAAGCTTGTTCGTCTAGCTTTGGGAATGTAAAATTATTTTTATTTTTTTGCCCTGGGCATTGTTCCCTTGGGAATAATGCCTGCGAGTACTGTTCATGTGAACAGTAACTTTTTTTTTTTTTTTTTTGCCCTGGGCACTGTTCCCACGGGAAGAGTGCCCGCGAGTATTGTTCATGTGAATAATAACTTCTTTTTTTATTTGTTTATTTTTTTCCCTGGGCACTGTTCATGTGAACAGTAATTTTTTTTTGCCCTGGGCACTGTTCCCTCGGGAAAGTGCCCGTGGGTACTGTTCATGTGAACAGCAAATATTTTATTTTTTTATTTTTTTTTTCTCGCCCTGAATACTGTTCCCTTTGGTACC